GGCCCCCTCACCCGCGTGTCCCCGTAGCCTGGCAGTGTGTGGAGCGTGACCTGCGCAGCCAGATGGGCTCCGAGCGCGGCCTGGTCGAGGAGTACGTGGAGAAGATGCCGAACCCTAGCCTCAAAGGTGAGGGGGGCGGGGGGCACCCTCCCCCAGCTCCTGCCGGAGGGGATGGCCAGCCCCAGGGATGCTGCACGGGCTGGGAGAGGGCTGCGCCGCGGCCTCTGCCGCCAAAGTCTCTCCTGTCATCCCTGCAGCGTTTAAACCTGTCGACCTGGGTGATCTGAAGAGGAGGAACACACAGGATGCAAAGAAGTCCTAAGGCGGGTCCTCCCTGTGGATCGCTGGTCTCCTAAGGTCCTCATGCAGATTTAATTTGAGATTTTGTGTTGATTTCCTCCTCTGGTCTGTACTCCCAAAAGCCCGCGGGAGAGCCAGTCAGCTTTGGGGCTGGCTCTGAAGCTACCTGAAATCAAAGATGCTCAGGGGCTCACTGAGGATGCCCAGAGCCTGTTGCAAAGGATTCGAGCCCCTCACTCATAGCTTTCTCTGGCCTCAAGCTGTCCTTCCCCACTTCATGCTGGGCTCACAGATCTCCCGTTCTCCTTCCATCTCTGCCCCTGGTGCGTTGAGTATGTGGGCTCCCTGGGCTCTGGTGCCTGGCAGGGCAGAGCAGAGGGGCTGTGTTGTCGGTAGAGGCAGCGCTAGTTCTCCGCTCCCTTCTGTGCACCAAGGGTCCACAGTTGCTGGGGCGGGCCAGGGGCAGAAGGAAGGAGAGTTGGTTCTGTCCTTGTGCCTCGGGACAGACGGGCAACCCCAGTTCAACACCCTTCGTGCAGCTGACTGCTGGGCAGGTCACAGTGGCTGTTCCTTGCTCCCTTGTGGGAGGGCTTAATTTGTACCTGGGTTGCTAGTGCTTGGGACTCATCAGTGTTGCCAGAGCTCGTGGGTCCATATCCAAGGCCGGATTTTCCTTGTGCTTAGATTGGGCCAGATCCCTGTGGTGCTGGAGATGGAGCTGCTCCCTTCTCCCTGCGGAGGGAGAGGGACGGGGTGTCAGCACTGGCCCCAGGCACCTGAGAGGTGCTCGGAGGGCGGCACTGGGCCGCATTCAGCCTCCCCGGCCTCAGTGCTCTGGCAGCTCCACAGGAGGTAGCAGCAGTGGGGGGTGGCTGGTGTTGACTGTGCGGGAAGAAGCTGGTTGGCATCCTTGCCTGAGCAGCGCCGTCCTGTTCTATACTAACACCATTTTCCAGACGTGCACCCTTGGGAGAGATCTGGCCTCCACAGCTGGCAGAAATGTCACTGCGTGGGGGCTGCCCTAGTCGGTGTAACTTGCCCCAGGGGGGGGGCTTTCTTGGGACCCTCGCTCCTGGCAAGGCTCGGGTGGTTTCTGCATCATCGCCTCTGAGCGAGGGA